ATTTCTAGGGATTAGTCAGTGCACCATAGAAGACATTTGAGAATAAGAACCCGTGTCCTAAAATGCCTCTCTAAGGATCTACGTCCTCCATATTATAATGCTTTAAGTCCGTTATGTGCGAAAATGTATTTTAAAGAGCTTTACTGCATTCTTTTAAATTTGTTAGTACGAAATAACAGTACAGTAATTGTTCAAAGAGTCGTCCTTAAACTTGAACGCATATGTCTAAATACAAATTCGATAATACACATTTTTGCACATACCTAACTGTCTTCAATCATTATAAAGTATTAGCGCCTTAAGAAAATATTTCTAGCGTCTTATATTAAATAAGGTACTTACTATCTACAGTAGAATAAAATAGACATTCGTAGTATAAAATAGAAAGATATTACATACCCTGTATTTTATAGATGCTGGACAGAAGGCGTTAATTCTGCAACTGCCTTGAGTCTTTAAAGTTCTCATTGAACAACCTGTCGGGACATAGTATAGAGATCGATTACACACAAATATCTGAGATCTCGTTACTCGCTCCTTTTTGCTTCCCCCTAGTTTCATAAAGAACCATTTTTATTCAGATTCTTCTTTCAGTTTGAATTGTAAAAATTCGTCTTTGCTTCTAAAATGTTTTACCGAAATAAGATTTAAATTGTGCATTTGCTCCATGTGAGATAACATTTCATTTTTGAGATAATGATTGAAATAACACAAAGAGCATTCTATCAAACGATGTACTTTAACATCTTCATGAACCTTTCGTCCATGACTAATATGAGACTTCTTATTGAATTGTTTTGAATAGGATTTACATTGAAACTTTTTTCCAGGAAAAATATCGGCTATCTTCAATTCCGGATGCTTAATTTCCATGTGACGTTTCTAACTAGACTTCCGGCTAAAAACTTTCGCACAATGAGAATAGCTCCACTCCGAATTCATATTTGTTCTATTTAATAAAACTTTAATACCAACACAACTTTTTCAAATCAAAATTTTACACAGGCTTGACTTGACTTGAGTGCATTGATGAGACGTTAAAAACCGCTAAAAATTCCATAATCTGATTGGTTAAGTGTTCTTAAAAGTTCTTATTATTCCAGATGACAAAGCGGTTTACTCAAAAAGTCGTGTTCAGGTGAAACATGTCATTCGTGTGTTTAATAATATTGAAATGTTATTGATTTAGAATTATTTTGTTTAAGTCGTTTTCATCGTTAAATTGGATATATTCATAATTTCATCTAAATGGGGGTTTTAAAAACAGAATCAGAATTACGTGACCTTTTCTTTTATTTTTAGAAGAAAAAAATCGTTTTTGTTGGTCTATATTTTTACATGTAGAAGTAATTGAAACGTCTTTAAAATTATTTTCCTGATGAGATGACTGAGATGAATTTTTTAATATATTTTTTGTTGCACTTATATTTGAAATAATAGCCTGAAAATTGCTGTCACTTAAGTAAGATAGATCATGGCTATTTACAAAAACTGCAAAATCTGCTGTGTTTTTTTCATCCTTTTGTTTTTCTTACCCACTCGATTATCATTCGTTCTGCTTAAGAAACTTAAGCAATAATCAACCACATTATGCTCATTTGCATATATCGTTGGAGAATGTGATTTAATAATATTGTTTCGTAATACAACAAAATGTATGTGTTTGCATATAACATTATTTACATAATAGTCTGAACAACTGCAACTGTTGTATACAAATTTTGCAAAACTCGCAATCTAACATAAAGCACTTATTTAATACATGCGTTTTCTTAACGGTGCGCAGATATTTTTTTCTTAACCGTCCGCACCAGTCCTGACTGATTGCGCTTGCGCGTATCACTGCCGCGATGCCGGTTTGATACATTCATTGCGAACGAAGTTATAACCACAGAAAAATACTGTTTCTTGTGGATTCTAGCACCTTTTTAGTTCAGTGGCTGTTGCTGAAATTCATGCTTATTTCATCGCAGTAAAGATTTGGATTCTTGGAGTTTAATAGTCTTAGATCTTGTTTGTTTCTTATTGTTTTCTGCTTTCTAAAATAATTAACAGATATATTTAAATGTTGTCTATGACCTTCACTTTAATTTTACTTAAACTTAAAAATTTGACGAGCCATTCATCGCAGTATATCTTATTTTGTTCGGAGCTAACTCGCATGCTCTTTAGCCCTTGAAACTTTTTTAGGTTAGGTGTATCTTTTGTTATTGTATTCAACAAAGAAGACCGCTAAAATTCAAAATTGTGTTCAGGACAAAGTATTAGAATTGATTAAAAGTATAATTTTAAATTGAAGGTAACACCACGTAATTACTCATGTAATATGATTTTTATGTGATATTCTCTTCCAGCAATAATGTTTAAGTGTACAATTTGCGATAAAATGTACGATTCAAAACAACAATGGAACAGGCATAATAAACTTACTCATAAATTGTCAGTCAAGTTTTATTATGACTGTAAGCAATGTGAGAATACATTTCAATTTAAAAGAGCTCTTCAAAAACACCTAATAACATGTCATAGTGAAAAGAAACTGCAATGTAGGGAGTGTGGAAAACTTTACAAATCATTGAAGACCCTAAAAGCGCACATGAAGATAAAGAAACATAACTGGATTAAAACAAGAAAGTCAAGACTAATCTGTCCTTTTAATGATAGCTTTAATTTGAGACGTATCAGCGATTGAGGAAACATTTGGTAGAAACTCATTCGGTGCAAATAACACCTGAACATTACACATTTAATACGGATGCAAGTACTTTATATGGTTAATGGAACAACAGTTGAATGAATTGTTTTGCTAAAAATGCTCTATAAATTTATAGTTTCATAGTATTTAGTAGTAAACAATTTAAATAAATATGGTGCTTTTTAGAGTTTGATTATTGGAAACATACCATTGAAGAGAAAATGAAAGTCAATTATCGACAGTAGGTGTAGAACGCTAAAATCTGGCCCCGCACGAGCTATTTACATATGCCACAGATCTTATGCCCCAAGAGAAAAGTCAATCAATTGAAAAAGCGGTTTAGAAACTTAGATTCGAACAAAATTAATAAGGCCTGTCCTTCTATTCTAGTTGTCACTAAAACTCCTCATAAACTACTAGTTGTTTTGTATCCAGTTCATATTGGCCATTCAAATAAATTAGGAGGGTTATCCATTCCTAGCATAGACAAACAGCAAATAGCAGGTAAATGTTTTTTAACAGTAAATAAATTTGTGACTACTGAATTACACATTTATGGTTTTAGGTAAATTATCTCATGGAGTGTCTGTTAGTCGGATTCTTAATGATATTAGAGCGGATATCTCTAAAGATGAAATTAAAAGAATTAACTTAATAGAGAAACAAGACATTCATAATATAAAAAGGAACTTTCTATCGGTTATGTCACTAGAAGACATCAAAATGATGCAGTAAGTGTCAAATTATGGGTGGATGCGATGAATAACATGGAACACAGCCCAGTATTATTTTATAAAGAGCAAGGATTAGAAGATGCAGTTTTCAATAAAAATGACTTCGTCCTCATTATCATGACAGATTTTCAAGCCAACTGTATATCAAAATTTGGAAGTAACAAAATTTGTATTGATGGAACCCACGGGTTAAATGCCTATGGGTTTCAACTATACACTATTTTAGTAGTGAACGATTATGGCAGCGGCATGACGGTTGCTTTTTGCTTTTCAAACAGGCAGGACATAGCAATATTTAAGTTTATGTTTGAAATCATAAAAACATGTGTTGGTGTGATAACAACGGAAGTTTTTATGTCTGATTACTACCCTGCCTTTTATTTGGCTTGGGAGTCAGTAATGGGAAGGGTTGACAAGAGATTACTGTGTAATTGGCATGTGAACCGAAACTGGATACAAAATGTAAATAAGATTTCTAATCAAGAAAAAAAAACGTTGGTTTTAAAATCTTTAAAATTAGTTAAAACTGAATTGGATGAAGACATCTTTAAACAACAACTAAATACATGCCAAGATTTATTAAATGATAACGGTACGTTGACATTTGGGGAATATTTCCAAAGGTTTTATGTAAATCGTACCCAGTTATGGGCGTATTGTTTCTGAAAATACACTGGTATTAAAACTAATATGTATCTAGAATCCTTGCATAAAGTTATAAAACATTTTTACTTGGAAGGAAAAAGATGCAAGCGACTTGATAAAACTATTAATAGTTTAATAAATTTAGTAAGAGATAAAATGTTCGAACGGATAATCAATATTAAAAAAGGTAAATGTAGCATTAAGTTTAAAAAAAAATAAGTCATAGGAGTGCTGCGATATTTCCAGATAAAAATATTGTAAGAATTGATATGGATACTTTTTCTGTAACATGCTCGGATAACAGCTTGTGGGAATAATTGTCAACTGAATTGTGGAAAATTTAAAATTTGCGTGCATTCTTTTAGATTCAGTTGTGCCGATAACGTAATTAACTTCAACATTTGCAAACATATATATGCATGTTGTATATATTTTTATGATGTTGACAAAACATCAAATTTCACGGAAAATCTTGTGAACGCCGTATCCGATAATTTAGTTTCACCGGAGAACATTACATCCTTCCGCCTGAAATCATTTAAAAAAATAAACTAAAGTCTGCTTTAGAACTTTGCCTTACTTTAAATAATAGTTCAAACGTGTCTAACGATGTTCGTGCCCAAACTTTAAGAAACATTTACAAATCTACGCCCAAGAAGAGACGCTCAGCGTCCCTTGTCAACAGGGAGTCTCCTTTTGCACTTTCGCGCGCGCACATCCCGCTTACTCTCTATTTATTGTTAATTGATCAAAAGTTGTTTATTTAAAGTGTGTTTTATTGTGTGACACAAGAAAGCCCACACTTTGCTTAACGTAACCTCAAACCAACTTGCGCATGTCATTTAAACAACGAGTCAAGTTAGCATATATGCGCTAGTTATCTTTGGGGCTTCCTTGTCACCGCGCTTCGCAGGTAGCGCTTCAGCTGGCTGACCGGCGACTGACAGCACTAAAATCTCGATTTTTCGGCCAAGAAGTTCTGGGAATGGACGAAACGTGCAGGACACAGAGAAAATAAAATAAGCGTCGGTTAGATCAGTTCTGTCCTTTTTCAACTTGCGGAGCAACGCGGCTGGATATTATTCTTGATTTGCTATGTTGTCTATGTTGTCTGTGCGAGTTAAAATATGTTCATATTTCTAATACCTGTACGGGTATTAATATCTACAAATAATATTKGCTGTCGATATATAAGTATTGCATCTTAACACACTAGTAATTTTCTGTTTACCTATTTCTTGTTTGGKTCTATAATTTATATCTGCATAAAGATGAGTCATCTTGATGATCGTGTTCTATCGTATAAACGTAGATCATCAAACTGCAAAAATTACAATTTTAAAAAGGGTAATCTTGAAAACTACGCAAAGAACCGGTATTCAAATTCGCTGATCCAAATAAAGATATTAATCGTTGCAGAAAATGGTATGAAATAATGGAATTATTTCTTCTGAAAGAACGGCTTAGAATTAGGACTTTCCCTGGCTAAATTTTTGGTTATTTAATAGTTCAGCATGGAACAGAATCTTCCAGCACATAAGGCGAATACCTCTAGTGGCGATTCCTACTCCGATAAGGCACAAATTTCGCTACCCAGTTCTTCTTTTTGGGACTACTTGGAAGACAATTTGTGTTTTTTTACTTAACAAATGTTAACTTACACTAAAATGTTATTTTATTTCGATCTAGGTATATATTATTCCATTCCCTTTTATGGATCCCCTTAAATCTGGATCAAAAATTGATCTGATTTGATGATTGATTCTAAGTGTTACAATTTCTATGTCCTTACACACTGTAGTCTCGGATCATTATTCATGGAAATAGAAATTTGTTATCACCTTATTGAGTAAACAGCACATTTTCTTATAGTATTAATAGCCGAGATAACATGTGCAGACACCGAAATTAGTGTACCTGGAGTATTTTGTACCTTTAGAAATTTAAAATTTCCGCTTCTTACCAGCCGATAATTGACGGTCAGCCGGTTGTGGCGCCACGCGGTTCCAAGTTTTAGCAT